TGGTAAGAGTGGTGATACCAGGAGGGTGGCGGGAAGGTGGGGTAGAAAGGGGGAACCAATTATAGGGATCTACATATAATCCCCTCCCTGGGTGATGGACAACAGAAAAGTGGGTGAAGGGAGACATCAGACCTTGTAAGACATGACAAAATAATAATTTATAAATAACAAGAGTTAAAGAGAGAAGGGGGAGCGGGGAGGGAGAGGAAAAATGAGGAGCTGATACCAAGGGCTCAAGGAGAGGGCAAATGTTTTGAAAATGATGATGGCAACAAATATACAAATTTGCTTGACACAATGGATGTATGTATGGATTATGATAAGAGGCCCCAATAAAATGATTTAAAAATAAATAAATAGTGTGGGGGCTTCCCAAGTCCAATTAAAAAAAAGGAAGAAGAAAGAAAGAAGGGATATCCAAAGGAAAGCATCAGTATAGAACAGCATCATGACACTGAGGGTGGCTAACTGTGGAATCAAAGTATTTACTAGATGGGTGACCTTACGGAGTTTTGGTAAAGTTGTTCAATGCTTGGTTATTAACCAAAAAGTTAGTGCTTTCAACTCCCCAGCTGCTGCTTGGGAGGAAGATGTAGGCAGTCTGCTTCTGTAGAGATTTACAGCCTTGTAAACCCTCTGAAGCAGGTGTACCCTATCTATATGGTCACTACTAGGTGGAACTGACTCCATGGCAATGGGTCTGAGGTGTTTTTTGTTTGTTTTATGGTGACCCTAAAATTACTCAATCTTCGTATGTTTCAGTTACCTTCTGTGTAAAATGAATTTGCTAGCAAACACTGTTCAGTGAATGGGAAAATTTGGGAATGTGTAACAGTGATGGCTGAAAAACATGATGAACCTAATGTAATTGATGTCTTCATGTGAAGGTTGCTGGAATGGTAAATTTTTTGTTATATATTTATCACATACAAACACATACATTCTGGGAGATGTCTGCTTACCTAAATAATAGGATTGTTGGAGGCAGGACTTAGTACCTACTATTTGTGATAAGTACAGATCTGCACTAAGAAAATATGTGTCCTAGCTAGGGCACAAAGGGCATATCCAAGGCTTTACTTGGTTGGGTCAGCAAGTAGAAGCTCTTATATATAACATAGCACACAACGGTAAGTTAAAAAATATTGCTATAAAGTCTTAGACACCTTAATAAAGCAAAAACTTTCAAAGGGCGAAGTTGATGTTTCTCACTCAATTTATCCTTCATCTGGGTGTATACACTTCTGCAGGTGGTATGTCCATTTCTCTAATCCTTCCCGGAAGAATTCTGTGTTCTTCAATTTACATCACGTCAAACTGGGGGTTTTGGCATGCTTGTGCTTCTTTTAAATGTTCTCTGAGTTTTTATCAAAAAGGAGACTGAAGGAGCAATATCAGGGCTGTAGGGTAGATGAGGTAAGGTTTTCCAAAGAAATCCTCACTGGACAGCCCTGCCTACCCTCAAAGAATGATCAGTTGCACTGTTTTGGTGAAAACAAATTCCTAGGTGGAATTTTTGTCATCCATGCAGTTTTCAATTTTCTTAAGTGTTCTTCCTAATAAGCTCCTGTAATTGCCTTGTAACCTATCAAAGGTGCCCGTTGAGATGGCAAAAGAGCATCACTACCGTCTTCTGAACTGGCCTCTCTTGCCTTGAAGCAGAGCCCCTTGGAAGTTCCTGTTCTGAGGGGATCATACTCTCTGGATCATATTGCTAAATCCAAGGCTCATCTTCAGTTTTGAGTCATTCCATAAAATCATCTTCATTAGCTTCAGTCTTGCTTAAGGATATTTGGAAAGAGACGCTCTTTGGACTACCTGATCATTCCACAATGTTTCTGGCAATCATTGATTTAAAGTTTGCTGAGGCCAAGGTTTTCACTAAAATTGAAAATGCTGAACCATGTGAGAGCCCAACTTCAGTAGCTATCACATCACTGCTAACAGACCTGTAACTTGTTGCAAAACTACAATAATTCGAGGTGATTTTCACTGAGTTTTGTTTAAAAATGTTTATTAAGCCTGACTTCAAAGTCATTTTCCCCCATGACATAAAAAATATCCTTAAAA